TAGTAGATCTACTCACTTTGATGTCTCGTATCTCTTTCTATCAAAACAATACACACGTTAGTAACTTCAAGAAAGATTAAATCAAATAAATAAATCAAATAAGAATTAGAATATAGATTAGGGACTAAACCCTCATAAATATCAACCTTTCACGTCGAGGTCGAAGGTAACTTTGAGAAGGGCTTGGAGTATTCAAGTCTCGCAAAGGACGTATGGTGTGTGATGTGTTTAGGCTAAGGCTAAGAAAAAGAGAGAGAGAGAAGATTATAGCTTAGAGAGGGATTAAGATGATAATTGTTGGCGATCAAGCTTGTTGATGATCGAAAATGGGGTAAAAAGACCTCTATTTATAAGAAAAAAGAGGGTCGAAAGATCAGAAAAGAGTCAGAATCCGACTCAAAGTAAAACAAGTTTCCGTCGCGACGCGATACTTTTTTTGGAAGATAGAAATCGTACGGAATCCGACTCCCAATCAAATTGGGTTAAACGTGTTTCCGTACATATTCTAATTGTATCATAATTAAATCATTAAAAGACAAGTGTTTTATCCGATATAAAATTCTAAGTCTTTATCTAAAACAGGATAAATTAGAACCTTCTAGAGGATTCTAGAAGCTAATAATAAATCCTAAGGGATTTAGGAATGATGTTTAAGGTTAATGGACCCTCCACATGGTCATTGGGTCGTAGGTAAGGTTCGGTTTGGGCTTAGTTTAGTATTTTGGCCATAACTTTTTCGTTATAACTCAAATTTGGGCTTATAATGTATCGTTGAAAATCTCTTTTCAAATCCCATCCAACTACATAATTATTGGACCCATATTATGGACCAAAATAATCTGGTTGGGACATTTTTATAAAGTGGACAAGAAATGAATGATTTCAAGGATACGAAATGAATGATTTTGGTCTAAAACATTTTAGGAAAGGTTAGAAATGGTTAAGGCTAAAGGGAACTTCACGAGACTCTTCAACTTTTTACCTAACGCGATGATCAAAAACGTGAAAGATACTCATCACTGGGTTTGGTTTTTGGGGAGACAATCAGGTGTCTACAATATAGGATTTTAAAAATACTGGATTTAAAGTGTTGATAAAATTTATTATTAGATATGATAAATTTTGTTAACGTAGAACTTACTCTTTTGGACGAATAAATGATAAATGATGAACATTTTTTTTGCTAGAAAAAGAGAAAGGATATTTTTAATTTCAATGATTTTTTCTTATTTTTTGTATCTAATCAAAAACTGATTTTTTTTTTTAGAAAAAACTGAATTGTTTTTTTAATTGAAAGTGATTTCATTTTTTTATTAGTATTTTCTTATAAAATATTTTATTATAATCACTTGTCATATTTTCATTATATTTTTTTTATCTAATCTATTTTTTTTAAATATCAATTGAACGTGAATTTCATTTTTTTTTAAGTTTAATAGTATTATATATATATATATATATATATATATATATGTGTGTGTGTGTGTGTGTGTGTGTGTGTGTGTGTGTGTGTGTGTGTGTGTGTATGAAATAAAATAAATTGTTTCTTTTCTCTTAGATAAAATTTCCAATTTAAAAAGATACAGAGTAGTATTTTATTTTTTATAATAAATGTAAACCTTTAATTTTAATCTTACGTGGCGCTTTAAAATAACAATCCTACGTGGCATAATCCTACACGTTACGCTCTAAAAATACTAATCCTACATGGCGCTCTAATAATTTAAAAAAATCAAATATATATATATATATATAGAGGAAGACTCATATAAGAACCCTCCTCTGTATAAGAACCCATTATATATAAGAACTAATCTGGACCGTGGAATTAGCTTGATCTGACCGCTCAAAATGAATGATTAGTAATGGCATTTTAGTAATTTTTGCTGTACTTTCCCCTTTCTTTCTCCTCATTCACGTTTCTTCTTTCTCCTTATTATTCTACTTGGTACATTACAGCTCTCTCTCTCCTCTCATACTTTTGGATGCAAAATTCCTTCAACAAGTTAAGGTTTTTTGTTCAATTTTTATTATTTTTAATTATTCTTTTACTGAATTTATGTATTGATTTTTATTCCTTGCGAATTTCTGTCTAATTTTTTTATTTTTGCGAATTTCTGTGAAATTTTTATTTTTCCTGATTATTTGTGCGATTTGCAATTCATCAGCTCGAAAATTGAAATCATCTGTTTGTTTTTTTTCCTTTTGCGATTTCATCATTCATTTTTTTTATTATTGCGAATTTCATGCGATTGAATTTCAGTTTTTCGATTTTATTTTATTTTTTTTTGCGACTTTTATGCGATTAATTTCAGTTTTTTTTCGATTTTATCTGTTTTTTTTTGCGACTTTCATGCGATTAATTTCAGTTTTTTTTTTTTTTCTGATTTTATCTTTTTTTTTTTTTTTTTTGCGAATTTGCTTGAGTTTTTTCATTAATTTCATCAATTTCGTTTTCTAGTTTTCTTTTTCTTCTTCAATTTCCAGATTTTTCCAAATTTTATTTCTAGATTTTATTTCCTTTGCTTATTTCCAGATTTTTTATTTCCAGATTTTTCTGTTTTTTTCCTTTGCTTGAGTTTTTCAACTTCGTTTTCGATTTTATCCTATTTTGTTTTCCTGTTTTTTTATTTTTAATGGATTTTAATTTCTGGTTGCTTTTTTGCTACAATTTGTGTTTTTCAAAATAGGTTTATGCATATTGATGGATTAGATGGTGTGCAACCTAATTATCCTTCTTCCTGTGTTACTCATTCAGGTAATTTTATTGTTTTTCAATGTTTTAATTTCAATTTACTTACATGTTCTAAAGTTTCTTTACTATGTTCTAACGTTTATCTGTAATGTTCTGAAGTTTTCTCTATATGTTCTAAAGTTTTCTATATATCTCTCTCTTTATATTCTAAAACTTTCATTCTATGTTCTAAAGTTTACCTTCTAATTTTAAATTTTACTTTTTATGTTCTAATGTTTACTTTCATTGTATGTTCTAAAGTTAACCTTCTAGTTTAATTTTTTCACTTTATTCTAAATTTTATTATGTATGTTATAAAGTAATTCACTATGTTATAAGTATGTCCCTGATTTAATATGTTCTAAAGTTTATCCTTGATGTTCTAAAGTTTATCCTTGATGTTCTAAAGTTTTCTCTGTATGTTCTAAAGTTTTTTATGTATCTTTCTCTTTATATTATAAAGTTTATTTTTATGTTCTAATGTTTACTTTCATGTTCTAATGCAGTTGGTGTTATTTATCGTACTCCAGAAGTTGTTGGATCATTTAGCCCTGGTGGTAACACTAAGGAATGGATTCCAAGTGTTCCCGAGGAGTTAAAACCCAGTTTGGGGATGATATTTAAAGATCCTAAAGAGGGTCTTAGTTTTTATAAAGCATATGCAAATGCCGCTTGGTTTACTTCTAGGAAATCTACTACTAAAAAGAAGAAGAATAACAAAGATATAATTGCTTTTCAATATGGAGTTTGCAATAAGGAAGGTTTCAGGGCAATAAGAAAACTTATTGCTCAACAAACAGTTTATGAAGAAGGTAAAGTTCGTATTACTAGGAAACGTTTAGTCACTCGTGTAGGATGCAATGCTCACATATGTATAAGATATGATGCTGGAAAGTATGTTGTAACTCATTTCAAAAAAGAACATAATCATCTTTTATATACTCCAAGTTGTGCAAAATTTCAGAAGGATAATAGAAAAATGCATATTATGCATAAAAAGTTGATTGTTGATAATTCAAAGGTGATTTATTTTTATGTACTAAATAATGTTTTCTTTGTTTTGATTTACTATGTTCTAAAGTTGATTCTTAATCTTAGTAATTTTTTTTTTTTTTTGTAAACAGGTAAATGTTGGTCCTGTGAGGTCTTATACTATGATGAAAGAATTAGCTGGATCACATGATAATGTTGGTGCATCTAAACAAGATTTCAAAAATTTTTATAGAGATTTGAAGGCTTATATTGATGGATCAGATGCCCAAATGTTTGTGGATAATTTCCAAAATAAGAAATTGCTCTGGAGTGCATTTTTTTTTTCCTATGATGTTGATGAAGAAGATAGACTTTGTAGAGCTTTATGGGCTGATCCTATCTGTCGAAAAAATTATGCACTTTTTGGTGATATGGTTTCTTTTGATACCACATTCAAAACAAACAAGTGATGTTCTAAATGTAAATTTCTTTCATAATCTAATTAATATTTTACTTTTACATATTAATTTTTTAAACATATGTTCTTATATTCTAAATATTATGCCTTGTGTTCCTAAACAAATATCCATCATGTTTTGATGTTCTAAACATATATTCTTTATGTTCTAAACTATGTATGTCTTATGTTCTAAACATATATTGCTGATGTTCTATCTTATGCTTTGAAATATATCCATCATGCTTTTATGCTTTAAACATTATGCTTTTGTGTTTTACACTTTATTCTTTGTGTTCTAAACTAATATCCATCATGTTCTAAACATTATGTCTATATGTTCTAAAGTTTACTTATAAGTTTTTAAAGCTTCACTGTATATTTTAAGTTTAGTGTTTATGTTTTACAGTAATTCATTATGTTTTAAAACAACTATATTACTGCCAAGTTTAATAATTAAAGTAAATTACTATCCTCTACAGTTTATCCTTAATGTTCCAAAAGTATACCTCTATGTTCTACAATTTACCTCTATGTTCTAAAGTTTACCTCTATGCTGTAACATTTTCTGCATAAATAATTTGTGTATGTTACAGATATAATATGATCTTTGGTCCATTTACTGGAGTTGATCATCATAAGAAATGTGTTACTTTTGCGGCTTCTTTTGTAGCTCATGAGGATATATTATCTTTTGAATGGGTTTTCAAAACTTTTCTTAAAGCAATGGGAAATAACGAGCCTATGTGTATGATTATCGATCAAGACCCTGCAATGAAAGTTGCTGTTTGAAATGTTTTTCAAACTACAGAACATAGGTTTTGTATGTGGCATATTATGAAAAAGGCGCCTGAAAAAGTAGGTCGGGCAATTGCCCAAGACATTGATTTTTTGAAAAAACTGTGTTCATGTGTTTGGCATTTAGAGATTGAGCCAGTAGAATTTGAAGAAAAGTGGAACAAAGTTATTTCAAAATTCCATTTGAACGATCATGAATGGTTGGCATACATGTACAACATACGTGATATGTGGATTCCAGCGTATTTCAGATATTTATTTTTGGGTGGCATCATGAGGACCACATCTAGATCAGAAAGTGAAAATAATTTTTTCACTATGTTCACAAATCCCCATCTCACTTTGATTGAGTTCTACATGAGGTAATATGTAATTGTCTATATATGTTCTAAAGTTACTCTTTATGTTCTAAAGTTTTCCTTGTATGCTCTAAAGTTTTCTTTTTATGCTTTATAGTTTTACTATTTATTTTATAATTCTCTTTTATGTTCTCTTTTTATGTTCTAAATTTTGTCTTACATGTTGAAAAGTTTTTTCTTTATGTTTTAATATTATTTAGATCATAATAAGCATGTCATGTATATTTATATGTTCTAATGTAATTCACTATATGTTCTACAATTATCTTCTATGTTTTAAAGTTAATTTCTATTTTCTATAGGTTTGAATGTGCATTGGATGCTTAAAGGCACACTCAAAATAAAATAGATAATGATTCGAAGAATAAGCGTCCGGAGTGTAAGACTCCAATTCCTTTAGAGAAAGATGCTTCTGAATTGTTTACAACAACAATTTTCTATGAATTTCAATATGAGCTTGAAATTGGATGTTTTAATTGTGGTGTTGAGGAGATGAAGAAGGACAATGAGCTTTACATTTTCAATTTGAGGGAAGGAACTAGGAGGAGGACTTTTGATGTTGTTTTTGATCCAACTACCTTTGATACCAAGTGTTTTTGTAAAAAACTTGAACGTGATGGTGTGCCTTGTAGGCACATGATTTGGGTGTGGAAGGGGCAAGGATGTTAGAAAAAATTCCCAAGGCCTACGTTCTAAATAGATGGTGTACAATGGCTTATAAGAAGCCCATTTTTTATTTAGAGGGTAATGCGTTGGAGGAATGTATTAATGCAGTAGATAAGAAAATGCTATTAAATGATTTGTGGTCTGAAATTCATGCTTGTGTGAGTTTAGTGCAAAACAATGAAGATGATCTTAGTGATCTTGTCAAAAAACTTCGAGCCATGAGGGTAGATTTGGAATAGAAGAAAACAAATGGAAGCAACAATCTTTCGAGCAACGTTAAAGACATTGAAATTCTTATTGGAGCTAGTCTACCTTCTAATGTTTTAATCACACCTCCTAAAATTTCGAAGAACTAACAAAGGCATGGGGGTTCATGTTCCAAATCAGGTCAATGTTCCAAATGATGTCCATGTTCCAAATGAGGTTCATGTTCCAAATAGTGACAAAAGAATGAAGAGTGACAGAGAAAAGTCTATTGAACAAAGTCAAAAGAAGAAGAGATTATGTAAAGCATGTGGGGAGCTTGGTTATCATGATAGTCGTAATTGCCCTAGAAAAGTCAAGTGATATTGTAAGTAAACTTTATTTTTAATTTTCTTATGTTCTAATTTTCTAAACTTTAAGTTTTAAGTCAAAATTAATATATAATAATATGTTCTAATATTTTAACTTTATACTTTGTGTTCTAGATTAATATTCTTATTTTCCAAACATAATCTCTAGTGTTTTAAACTAATATATATGTCATGTAATATTATTTTATTATGTTCTAATGTAATTCATCTAATGTTCTAAATTACTTTCTATGTTCTAAAGTTACTTTCTAAGTTCTAGAGTTACTTTCTATGTTTTAAAGTTTATTATTTATGTTTTAAAGTAATTCAATATGCACTAAAGTAATTATGTTCTAAGCAAGTTTAGAACATAAAGTTATTATATATGTTCTAAAGTAATTCAATATGTTCTAAAGTTACTTTTCTATGTTTTAAAGTGTTTTCTCTATGTTCTAATGTTTAATCTTTTTGTTTTAATGTAATTCAATATGCTCTAATGTTTAAAACATATAGTTATTTATTTTGTTCTAAAGTAATTATGTTCTAAGCAAGTTTACAACATAAAGTTATTCATATATGTTCTAAAGTAATTCAATATGTTCTAAAGTGTTTTCTCTATGTTCTAAAGTTACTTTTCTATGTTCTAAAGTGTTTTCTCTATGTTCTAATGTTTATTCTTTCTGTTTTAGTGTAATTCAATATGCTCTGATGTTTAGAATATAAAGTTATTCATTTTGTTCTAAAGTTTTCCTTTATATTTTAACTTTTCTCTTTATGTTCAAAATATTTTATTTATAGGAAAGATTGCACCAAATAATACGACCTTTGCTCCGTCCGCTAAAAACAAGTTCACCTTTTGTTTATTGCAGAATAATACGACCTTTAGGGGTACTCCACTTTAAACAGGTAAAAAAAAATTTGTAACCGATTACTGCAGGTTAACTGGTGACGTGTCTTCCTCTTTCCCTTATCTTCTTCTATTTATACCTCTGTATCTGTTGTTCGCATTTTTCTCCATGAAAACGTGGTCTTCCCAGGTAAAATCAAAATTGCAATTAAATGGTTGGGAAAAGGCAATCATCCAGTGGTTCTTCTTCAAGCTTTGCGAACGAGGAAAACCAAAAACTCCGCTGCAGTTGTGGCAATTATGCGGTGGTGAGATCTGTAAAGAAGGGTCCAAACAGTGGGATGAAGTTCTACAACTGTCCCTTATGGCCGGTTTGTTATCAATTACAAATTCCTTTCAATTTTTTCGATGTTGACTTAATTGAGATTCATAGTTCTTAATTGAAAATTGTATTACTGTAGGACACCAAATGTGAAATGTTTAGGTGGGTTAATCAGAGCAACCCCATGGAAGATCTTCAATATCATGTTTTGGAGAAGGAAACAAGAATTTGCGAGTTAGAGTATAAGCAACAATGCAAAGATGATAAAATCAAGAGGTTACAGTTGAAGAAGGATAACTTAGAAGAGGATGTTCAAGAAATGAAGAACGAAGTGTATGCGATGCATGTAGAGATGATGAATTGTTCCAGGAACGAGAAGAATTTATCCATGGCTTTGGTTTTTTCTTGGATTTTCTTTGCTGTAGTGTTGTTTTATCTGAATTTTTAAGTGGAGTTTAGGTGGAGTTGTAATTTAACAATTAAGATTTAGGAACTTGATTTTGTCATCTGTTGCACTGTATTTGTAGTTGTTATGTTTTGCAGTTGCAATAATAATACAGAGCTTAACAGAGCTGATTTCATAACAGAGTTGATAATAATACAGTACTAATTGCTTAGTGCTAATCATATTGTCTGAAAATTACATAACATAAGCATATGGGTTGGCATAAACCAAGATTGTTCAAAATACTTAGTTTACACATGCTACATTGTTCAAAAGACAAAGCAATATTCACTACATTGTTGTTCAAAATACGTAGTGCTAATGATAGTGTCACAAAGTAACAGTTGAATGAACCCAAGGTGTCATGGATGTTGTTGATGCACTGTAGAGGTTTGGCTTGACTGTGTGGATATGTGTGCCTCCTGATTCCTTGCTCTATTCCTTGTAAAGGGGGCCTGAAACAGAATTTTGAAACAATTACTTAACAGATAACTTAGCTTAAGAAAACAGATACCACAAAACAGAAGCAAATGAACCTTACTTGTAGTACTGGGGTACCATCAGCACTAAACAGCACACCAACCCCTGCTCTGCCTCTCCCCCTTCCTCCTCTGGTTCCCCTAACAGCACCACCTCTAGCACCAGATGTAGCACCACCTCTAGCACCACCTCTAGCACCCCTACCACTGTAAATTACCCTTCCACCCCTGCCTAATTGACTTGGCTATGCAATGGTGGAATGGTGTTGAACACTTGCGGAAGAAGTTGATGCATATGTGGGGTCAACTACCTGCTGCTCAGAAGACCTTGCTGCAGACCCTTCTTTCCTTGGCCTGCCTCTTCTCCTCTTTGCTGCTGGCTCTGAGTGAACAAAGTTGTCTTTGTCTGGACATCTCCTCTTGTTGTGGCCTCTAATGTTGCAGAGACTACATGTCATTTCAAGTCCTGTTCTTGACAAAGAGCCTGGCTTTTTTGGGTTCTCATAAGGATCTTTGATCCTATTTTTTCTAGGTCTGCCAGGACCTATTTTGATGGCAGGGGGGTTTAAGTTGTAGGGTATCTTAGGCCAATGCCTCTCTCCTTCACATGGAGGGATAAAACCACCATAAACCCTCAAGTATACATCCTTTTTATAACAATCATCCACAAAAGATTCAGAATCCTTGTTCTTAAAGAATATACATGCTATGGCATGACAACATGGAACCCCTAGCACGTCCCATTTCCTACATGTGCACTTTCTGGCCTCTAAATCTACCTTGAGTTGATCAAGGAAATACTTCACATTGAACACTGTATCTGAAGAAGGTAAAACATCACACAATGCAGCCTTACTTTTTTCCTTTTCTAACATGGCATGGATTCTAGGACAAAGAACAAAGGTTGACTGCTGCATTTCTTGTCTTTTAGTCACTAACCTCTGCATCAAAGCCACTCTGCTGTCCTCTAACATATATATCAAATGCTTGGTTCTGGCATTAATAATGTATGAGTTGAATGTTTAAGCCATGTTAGATGTGATTGCATCTGTCTTAATTTCAGAATTCAAGTAAGCTCTACAGAATAATGTTGGGTTATATGAAGTGAAAGCTATGGCTGCATCTGGATTTAACTCTCTCAACTCCTCTAAACACTCATTATAATCTGCCAAGTTGTAGGATTTAGCAATTTTCCAGAAATGTAGTTTCATTTCATCTCCTCTAAAGGATTTATGCCACAGTGAAAAAATGTGTCTAGCACAGTGACGATGTTCAGCTTTTGGTAGGACAGCAGTAACAGCATGTACAATAGCCTTGTAAAACCAAAAACAAAAAATGCATACTTAAACACACCAATCAACACTACTGAACTAGTGCATACATTTCACAAAAATGAACCAATAACTTCTTATAAACATACAGAATATCAAACAAAACCAGCATTAACTAGTGTCAGCCAAAGCAAGTATGGTTTAGTGTTTACCTGTTGTTCATCTGATATAACAGCAACCCCAGTGCCATCACCTAGCTCCAAATCACTTTGCAATTGGGTGATAAACCATGTCCAAGATGAGTTGTTTTCACCTTCTGCTGCAGCCCATGCTATTGGGTACATCTGTTCATTAGGATCTCTGCCAACTGCACTCAAAATTTGGCACCAAGAAAGGTCTTTAAGAACGCAGCATCTACACATATGACTTTTCTGCAGCCTTCCTTCCAACCTTGCTTTACTCCTTCAAAACAGGTGTAGAGTCTCTGGAAAACAGGTGGATTTGTCTGCTTGGAAGTATCCACCTCCAACTCAATACTTGTTCCAGGGCTAGAATCCTTCACAAATTGGATATACCTCTCAACTTTCATATAGTGTTCCCTCATGGAGCCATGGAGCATTCTATGTGCATGGAATTTGACTTTGTATGCAAAGTCCCTACTCACCACAATCTTATAAGCTCTCCTAATAGCTTCAATTATTTCCTTAGCTGGCCAGTGAGGCCTAGCTTTAAAAACCTCCAACATTTCTCTAGCAGCCCAAGTTGATTTGAATTGTCTGTTTTTTTTCATACTCCTATGACATGTGTGACTGCCATCCATCGTCTTCACCAAGAATGTAGCATTTCTTGAATGCCATGCACCATACAGAAAAAAAGGACACCCTTCTACACATCTTACTCCTACATGCTGCTGCCTGTTCTTGTTACTCATAACAAAGCTCAAATCCCTGCCCTGCATAATTGCATACCTAGCAACAACCTGTTTAAACTCACTCCTATTGGCAAATCTCTTACCTACTACCCAAGTGAATGTAGAAAAATCAGTCCCACCACTCACAAGCATACCTTTCCTTCCCTTCCTTCTTGCTCCAGCATTTTCATCATCACTATTCTCAGGGGTGTGAATCTCATCTTCACTGTTTTCATACTCACTGTAATAACCACCAGCACCAGATGTGTCACCAGCACCAGCTGTGTCACCAGGAGCAGATGTTTCATCAGCACCAGCAGTTTCAGCAACACCACTTGTTTCAGCAGCTCTTTGTTGCCCACCCTCTACTGTTTTTGGACCTCCAAATCTCCCTTCACATACCTCTCTTTGAAGTTGGCTTGCTATTTCAAGGATCTTTTTGTTGCAATTTTAAACTCTCTATCTAGCTTGTTCAACCTCCTCATCACTGTTGTCTGACTCACCAGTGACCAAATCAACCCTGTCAAGACCCTCATCAACCTCAAAGTCATCATCTTCTACCTCCAGTTCAACATCAATTCCTTCCTCTTCATCCTCCTCATCAGGCACAAACTCAGGATCTGATTCATCCTCATCATCAGTACTAAAACCACATAGTTCCTTAAGGGTCAGTGGACTTTCTGGCCTGTTGTCTTCCCAATCATACTGAGGGCCTAAATTTGTGTTCTCACCACAACCA